AACAAAATTAAAACAATGGAGTATCAGAAGAGGAAAATTGATTGCATTTAAATCTCAATGGCGATTAATTTAAAAGCAAATATTTTTTTCTAAAATTTTGCTAGTACCATATATGCACTTACATGAAGTTTACAATATTGTCCAATCAATTCAAGTCTTGTAATTGGGTTACTTGTCACAAATGGATTTAAGTGTCTACACATATGTAGTAGAAAAATCAATTTCTCCAAAATATTGAAGTTTTAACATCCATTTAAAAATTAGGAAAATAACATTTTTTAAATAATGAATTTAAATTTTATTTTTAAGATTTTGGCAGATAAAAATTTTGTGGCAAAAAAATAGAAACAGAAAATTGTTAAGAAATTAGTTTTTTTTTGATGCTTAACTTAATATTAATTTAAGGTTATTGTTTAAGGATAATTGTTTCATCTTCTACGTTTTTTTTCACATTGTCAGCGAACGCAAACCAAGAATGATTTGTCGTTGCATTGTGCGTGCTCAAATATAACAACTAATGACGACTAGAAATAGCTGGACTTGAGAGTCATAATCCGTCCTGGACTTTATATTAATATACTGAATATTTGCTTTTATATTAAAATCAATGAGGAAATCTGTTTCGAAAATGTTAATTCTTAAATAAGAGAAAAAAAGTAGCTTATACAGGGTTCGGCGATTAAATTTCTACCAACTACACAGAGGTATATCTGTCAAACTGATATTGCCAATTACGTGAAATTCATACGAATGACAGCTGTTTCTATTCTTTACAAACTACGACAAGCATTTGCGTATAAGTTTTATAGAACAAAAGTTATTCAAAATAGAATTCAAACGTAATAGTGTGATTACTTTATATTTGGCTGAAAATCACAATCACAACCACCTATTGTGCGTGAGCTCAAACACCTCAAAGTGAATTAAATATTTGTGTATCGTAACATAAATCATTATAATACCACAGGCGGCGTCGCCAAACGCTATGGTGGTGGACGAAAAAATACCGTAACATCATCTGAAATGGTTCGGAAAGTAGAGGATCGACTTGATCGAAATTGATCGAACTGAAAATATTCTAGCAAAGCATCCGATGCATATTCTAAAATGAGCTCAAGGTAAAGCCTTATAAGTTTCATAAGACACAAGATCTTACACCAAAGCAACAAAAAGTTAGACTCAAAAAAGCAAAGGAGTTGTTACACTTGCTCGAACGTGACGAATTTCCAAACATTGTTCTCTGAAGAGAAAAAGTTAAGTTGTAGTTCCATTAATGATGTATAGATGGCGCACCGCAGGGAATTCCTTAAGACTATAAAAGATTTTATTGAGAATTTACATTTAATGAATCATCTTTATTTCATGAATCTTTATCTATGTACTCCTTTTAAATGCAATTTTATTAAACTAATTTAGTTAAAAATTTAAAATGCAATATTAAAAATAAGAAAAAATTATTAAACTTATTATAACAATGTTATCTATTTAGACATTTTTTTTAATAGTAATTAACAATATTTAAGTATTAAGCAAATTACTAAATATGTTTTTGCGAATTAAACATAAATTTTGTATTGTATAGTTTTTTTTTAGCTAATCTACTTTTTGTATTGTCATGTCATATGCATTTTTTTTTTGTCAATAATAATTAAATTTTTTTATTGCACAATTTAATTTCATTTATTTTTTGTATATAAAACTTTTTTGTTGAGCAGATAAACTCATTTATCATAACGTCAATGCTGTGCTAATGGGCATCAATTTATTATAAAATAAAGCCAATTATATTAATTAAACAATATATACATTTATTTTTTATATTATATTATTTGAATTAGCATTCGTTATTGTTTTTTTTGGTTATATTTGTTAAAATGCAGAGTAGTATTTTTGAATTTATTTATTTTTATTTGCAATTGAATATTTGCACAAAATTTTATAAAATTAAATTTCTTTCCAAATGGGTTGCATGCATTTATTTACGTTGTAATTTAATTAATATTTTATTATCATTACTATTATTGTTTTAATTATTGTTTTGTGGTTTATAGCATAATATTGTGCATTGAATCCAACATTGTTCTCCATAATTAGATTTTTTGTTGGTGTTTATTTATGACATTGTTGCTACGGTTTCCTGTGTTTAAATAATAAATTTCATAAAAACCATATTACATGTTTTCAATATTAATATTGTCTATAAAGCTGTACATTGAGAATTTATTAATTTATTTTCAATAAACTGAAGTAACTGCTATAATTTTTTTTTTCGCATAGTGGTTTTCAGTTTTTATAACTGTAACAATTAAATGCATTGTATTCATATGAGAAAAAAAATATGTTTGATTTATAATTGGCATTTATTGGGAGGCCTAAAGGATCATACTAGATACGAAATAAAGTTCGATAAGATTTATAATAGTAATAGGTGAACAACCTACTAACAAAGCTTGTAAACTAAATACAGTTCAATACATATGCGATATAAGTTTGTAATTGTAAAAATTGGGATTCAAAACACTTTGAAAATATAAGAAATACTTAACAGTATATACCACTTTAACTTACGCATGCCCTTCGTACTAAGCTTAGTTGTTTTTTAAATAATCATTAACTTTACCATAAATCAAAATAAAGCTCGGAAGAAGGTTTTGGAAACAAGTATCGAATTAGTTGAAGTGTTGAACTGTATGAGCTATAATGCGACACTAACATAGCTAAACATATTAAACTTCATTTTAATAGTAAAGTTTACCGAGCTGCATAACCCAGCTGCACTTGCTCGGTGATGTCGTACGTGTGTTGAAATAATTTTCTTAGAAAGATATTTGATTTAGTAAATTTCAGGTAGAAAACCAGGTAAAGACCGCAGAATCGTCAGTCGAAAAATCAAGCGCCTGATAATATAAAACCGCTTTGGTACACAAACTATAAACAGCAAGCCACTGATCGGACTGGCTGGAGGAGGGTCCTGGACGCTGTAAAGGGGAATATATAAATAACTAATTAAATAGGTAGGTAAATAGTAAATTAGAATAATCAAACAAAACTAATGGGTGTCAACTAAAATAATGCTTATAAAGTGCCGGCTCATAACACAAGAGAAATAAAAAAATAATATGTTTGTAGAAAATTTATGCTTCAATATTTTTAATATTGATTAATATTAAATAATTAATATTTTTCAATCGAAAAACAAATAGCCAAAGTGCTAGATAATACCCTGAAAGAATAGAATAAATTTAAAAAAGAAAATGTTAGCGGAACCTTTGTGTAAATATTTTTAATAAATAAATTTACGATTTAGTGGATATATTTTAGCTGAAAATTGTGCAATTATATTGACTATTTACATATCTTATTGGTTGAGATCACAGCACTAATAAAAATAAATACGGTTGTCTTTAGGTTTTTTAATCGGTATTTAACAATAATAGTGTCAGCTAATAGCACTAAAAAAATTGAAAAATAGTTTCGGATAAAATCATTCTGTGAAAATAGTTACCTTCTCAATATGGCACAAAAAATTAATTATTAATTTATTATGAAGCAAATTTTTAGAACTGAAATATATATTTCATTTCCAACTTGTGGTAACTACTCAGTTTAGATTTTATACCAACTTGTAGCAGTAAGCAAAAGATATCAATAAGTAATACGGGTATCAAATTGAGTTAATTATACTTAACACCGCTAAATATAAAATATTTTTTTCTGTTTTGATCAAATAATTTATAATTGTATATAAATTACAAGATAAAATACAAGAATACAAGATAAAACATATAATAAATTATCTTTAAATACTTTAGTACTACTGATTAATCCAGATGGTTTGATGATAAATATGAATACTGGTATAAGAATTATTTACTGAATTTTAAAATAAATTTTTCCTAAAATTATTATTTGTTTGAAAATTAACTCTTAACTTCCAAATTATAAAATTGTTATTGTCAAGATATACTAGTATTTAAAAAAAATTTAAATGTGTAGCGTGAAAATTGAAGCAAATTAAATATTTCTCAAAAAAATTTTTTTTTGTCAAAAATCAAAATGTTATTATTTCTTTTTATTTAAAAATATTATTTATATAATTTTAAAAATTATTTAAAGTTGTCGCTATTAATTAAAACATAGGCTAAAAGCTTAAGCCAAAAATTTAGTTCAGCACTATATATTTTTTTTCAAAAACAAGAACTAATTAAATTTCTAAGTTATAAATTATTTATAAGTAAATTTAAATTATAGAAATAAATATTTGTTCACAGATTTCTATGCAATGTTGCAGTACCTGTAAGATTATATTAATTGTTCATGTCATTTCCTGAATATCTTACAGATGTTCAGTTTTTCAGAATCAAATAAAAGTAAAGATTTATATTTTGATTCAAATGATAGTACCAAACAAAACCAATTAAAAAAAAACTAAATTGTAAAATTATAAATTAATTATACAAATTAAAACATTAAATTGTATTGCACATTTTGGAAAATAATATTTCCATTACTCAAAAACTATTTATTATATTTATTATTAATATTTATTAATATTTGCACCACAAAAGATATTGAGATCGTAGAGGCCAAGCATCCTTTGTGGTTAGATATCCTTGCAAAAACAAAATTATTTACCTATTCAAAAAATAACATTATAAGGGTTTAATAATGTTTCACCAAGTATGAAAAAGCAAAATCACTTTGTGAATAAAAAATTTAAAACATAATTTTTATTTAATTATTTTATGTAAATTTTATTTACACATAAGTAACTTTTTTAAAATACTGCTTTTGTTACAGTATCAATACATTATTTTATTGCCAAAAAACGTAGAAATTTTTTTATAAGTATATTCCAATATAAAAAAATAATTTGTATCACTAAATTACATTTTTTTAGTTATATATGTATGTTTATATATTTTTGTATTATATGCGTTAATAAAAGGATCATTTGTCGGTTTAATTCCTTATAAAAAAAATTTTAATTTAACACTTACAGCCATTTTAAATTTAAAATTAATTTATTAACGTAATGGAAATGCAGAAAGTTTTAATTTGAATTTCTGTCTGTAGCAGACGAACTGATTTCTTCGACTGACGCAAATTTTCCTCGAGATTTTCCATTTTTCCTACGAAAAACATCGACAAAAACAAAAGTGTGAAACCATAAGGCGGCATCAGGCATATAAAATAAAATATATATTTCGTATACGTATATTATATATACTTATATATAAACTTAAATATATTTTATATTTGTAAACTTTAAAAAATAAACGTCTCTGCATTTGTATATAAATGAGGCAGTCATTTGTAGACATGATCGGCCAATATACATGCAAATTATTTAATGACGTCTGTAAATAACATTTACTCAAAAAAAACAAAAAAAAAATTAAAAATGTTTAAAAAATATAGTTTAAATTTTGTTAAACAAATTTTGTATTTTGAATTTTTTTCTTTTTGTAATATTATTTTGTTTGTTTTAAAATAAACGCACTACGCCATTGTCGCGGACCAAAGTGGCATGGCAATTGATCGGCGTTTTGCGCTCATTGCTCTTAATTGCTCAAGGCAATATTTTTGGGGGCAGTTGGCACGCGAATTAATACTTTTAACCGCGCATAAATTAGGCAGAGATTATTTCAGATTTTCCGATTGCAGTTACCATCTGCTTTTTCCATCTTTTAGTATTCCATTACGTGTTTTCATGCTTACAATATTACAAAAACTCACTTAAAATATATATATAATGATGATTAATTTTTAATAAAATTTAAAAAATTAAATTCAGTTTCTATACTTTTCCTCATATTATTTTTACATGAACGGTTTTTATGTTTATACAAAATGATTTTGTTTATTTTGGCCAGTAGTCGTGTGGGTGTCTCATGCTGTACTCTATGGTGCCCTCCTGTTGTGGTCAAGTTAAATCACGTCACATATCACGTCCACTTTTATATTTTCTATTAAAATTTTGTATTTTTGTCAGAATTGCTTTTGCAAATAATTTTCTTTCTACAAAAACTATGTAGAAACTACACTTATGAAATATAGCCAAAATATTTACAGTCTCAACAAAAAGTAACGAAAGCCACAAACATAAATAGGGAGATTCTTTCATAAATTACAATTTGACGTCAAAATCGTATTTGAATGTGATTCGAAATTTTAATTTTGTTGCTGCAACCAAGATCTCTTCAAACGTAGAATTTTGCATGAAATTCTGTATTTACCTACAGTTTCAACAAATCATTCGAAAGGTTTACCATTCAGTTTTCTTATTTATTTTTCATTTACTTTTAATGTTTCGCTTTAATGCACAATAAATTCAGTCTTAATTAAAATTTATTGCAATATCTCTGTATGTGAGAATGTAACAACAAAATATTTTGTTTACATAAAAGCACATTTAATGTAAGGTTTCTTAATAGAAATAGTAATAATAAATATTTCAACCTAGAGAGTTGGATTTAATGAATTATTTACTGATTCTATGAATGTAATTAAATAGAGCAGAAGTGATATTTATATACTATATCAGTTTCCAATCGAAATAATTAAAAGCCAAAGTTGAAATTTCATTTTATCTAAATTCAATGTAAGGTCTTAAATGCAAGAATAATTTCAATAAAAAAAATTTATTTAAAATAAAATATGATTTTCTTATACATAACTTCTATGTCCATTCTCCATTACTTTATAAAATTGCTATACTACAATATAAAGAAAACTATGTTAAAAACACGGTTGCCACTTGAAAATTTTTTCCTGTACCAAAATTGGTTTAAAAAGGTACCATTTCTGTAAAAAAAGGTCCAAAATTTTTTTGGACCTTTTTATTTTTTCGATCTGTGTTTTTCATAGTGTTATAAATGAACAAAATATAAAATAGTGCAAAGTTGATTTATAAAAAAAATTATTTGGAAATATCCACAATAAAGTTGGGTCGTCAAAAATGTACCATTTTTTAAACATGAGCACGGTTGCCACTTATGGTACTTTAGTACCATAATTGGTACTTTTTTTTTCGTTTGGTACTCATGTTCAAAAAATGGTACATTTTTGACGACCCAACTTTATTGTGGATATTTCGAATTAATTTTTTTTTATAAATGCAACTTTGCAATATTTTATATATTGTTCATTTATAACACTATGAAAAACACAGAACGAAAAAACAAAAAGGTCCAAAAAAATTTTGGACCTTTTTTCACAGAAATGGTACCTTTTTAAACCAATTTTGGTACAGAAAAAAATTTTCAAGTGGCAACCGTGAACATGAGTACCAAAAACGAAAAAACGAAAAAAAAGTACCAATTTTGGTACTAAAGTACCATAAGTGGCAACCGTGGTTAAAAATTAACAGAATTTTAAGTAATATTCATTAACTCTTATTAAATCTATCTGCTCTATCTTTTATATACTACGTACTTTCCCCTTATCGACGAGAATATAATCGGCCCATTTGCAGACGACACAGCTGTTTTATAAGTTAAAAGTGACTCAATTCGTGCTTTCATCAAACTTTAAACCTGCCTTAACAATGTTGCACTTTGGATGAAAAATTGGCGTATCAAACCAAATGAATTAAAATCTATCCACGTAACTACAAAACGTTCTACTTGTCCGATTGTTATAATAAATAATACCCAATTACCGCAAACTGTAGAAAAAAACCTGGTTAGTAAACTAACCTGGAGTACACATACATATACTTAAAAAGCGTAAAGCCTTTGGTCTCAAATTTGAAAATTTATAATAATTGGATGCTGGCATTCAGGTGACTTTGTTTGGATTTTTTAGAAGATTATATACACGTTTACCATGATTCATATGATGAAAGTATTGCATTAAAATAAATAATTATTACCATTCACTCGGCTGCTTCTCAGTCCATATATATAAAGTATTTTAAACAGATTAACTATAAATATTATGTATTATAAAAAAATGTATTATCAACGAAATTAGTTTGTAAATTACATTTTATTCTAAGATCCATACAACTTCAAATCAGAAATAATTAATATATTTAGTTTCTAAACTAAAGTAAGTAGAACTAAATTTATTAAAATCAATATTGCCAACCACTATGTCGCATCACTTTATAAATATAAAGTAATTTAAACTAATTGAAAATTATAAATATGTGTAATTAAAACAAATTGAATAAAATATATTTTCCCTTAAGGAATTTGTTCAAGCTGAGCTCCATTAAAAGTATCGATCGATATTATTTATAGTTTTCCTAAGAATATACGTTACTATTTCTTTATGATGAGTTACGATCAACACTAATGCTTATAAGAAACAATAAAAACTAAAAAAACAATGACGTTTTTTTACAATATTTTTGCAATAATATTCCGCAAATTAAATTGTTGATAAACTATTCGTTTATAATTTTTAAGAATGTAACACATTCAAATTGAGCATTTGTACTATTTCTTCTCACTCTGTTTGATTTTTTAGAATGATTGAATATTTGATTCAAAAATATATAAATTTAATTAAGTTTTGAAATTGATATATTAAATCACATTGAGCTATGCAGAATAATCGTTGGAGGTGAAATAAAATAACTTTATGATTAAGTATTTCTTATAATTTCATAATATTTTCTTTGACATTTATTATGTTTTCTTGAATATATGTCTCAACAATAGGGTACAGTAGTAAACTCTCCTAGGGTAGAGCTTAAATCCTACCTAGTGCTTAAATCTGCAGTGGTTATGACTTAAAACTTATTCTTGAACTAACAAATGCTGCAGTAAATAATTTCATAGTTAATTAAACTTTTACTAAATTAAGCTCAAAATAACTGCCAGCTATGAAAATAGTATTATTTTGATGGAATATACATATATATATATATTTTCAATAATATCAAGAATTCTTATTGTAATTAAATCACACATCATAAGTAGTATGCAAGTAGGATATGAGAATATGATGTCATCTTAAGACCTATTTTTTTTTTTATATTTTTTTTTTTATTATTTATTAATTTTATGATTAAAGATTAATTATTATTATTTATTATTTAATAATTTGTAAATTTTTATTTATTGTGCATATATTATTTATATCTGTTTTTATTAGTTGTTTAGTTAGTTGTAAGATGTTGCAACAAAAGGATTTTCCCTTAACGGGTTTTTAAAATAAAAAATAAATAATAATAATAAACCTACTAAAAATATTTATAGCCATTTTATAATGCAAAGGCTTTAATACAATTTAGCAATTTTAAATTTATTAATCTTATTTAATTTAAAACTAAATGGTGCAACAAATTGTTTAAAGGCTTAAAACAGAACATCTCGAAAATGTTTTTAATATTTTTTTTCTTGAAAAAAGCAAAACATTATTCATTTCTATAGAATATATATATAGATTAACATACCTCTTAGTATAGATGTAAAACATCCATAATGTGAGTAGATCTGTTGAAATAACAACTTAATTTCGTAACAAATTCAAAAATATTGTATCAAAAATCTATAAACAATACATAAAATTTAATTAAAAACTTATTATTTTTTATATAAAGTTTAAAAAAAATGTACAAAGTACCGGAAAAAGTAATTTTTATTGATATTTACATATAAATATTTATTTGAGCACGTAGAGGAATTTTTTAATTGGATTTATTTTTGTTGCTATTTCATTACTTTGTTTACACAAAACAAATTTTTTGTTAACTCTTCACCTTTGTTGTAAACAAAAATAAATAACAATATATTATTTTATAATAATGAAAAGTTAATTGAGTGGAAAATTTAGTTTCACATATAAACTAATAACGATTGTTTATGCTTTTGTAAAAAACTCAATGAAACTTTAGAAAATAAATAATTAATTAAAATAGAAATTGTACAATTTCGCCATGAAATCGAAAATAATTTTTAATGCCAGAAGCAACGTTCAAGGATGCAATCATAAAACTATCTGAATCTGAATCTGAATCAATGTCAAGAAAAATACTGAAAAATACTAACAAAATAAACGCATATGTTATGTTTATTAAATCTCAACTAAGCAAATGTGGTGGGAGTAAAAAATAATTTTTTTTCATATATCTTACAAACAGAGAATATGTTTT